CCCAGTAGCGGCGCTTACATGCGTTTCCGCCACCCATCCCGGCACCCCCCCCGCAGCAGCATCATGTTTTGGGGACCCATAGGGAGCTCCCTTGGAGGCCCCAGTGGCGGCCCTCACATGCGTGTCCGCCACCCATGTCGGCACGCCCCGCGCGTGTTTCATGTCCCCATGGGGAGCTTCACCGAATGCCCCAGTGGCACCCATCTCGGCACACCCCTCACACGTTCCGTGGTCCTATGGGGAGTTCCTTTGAAGATGAAGCCCGCAGCTGCGGTACTGACAACTGCATATGGTTGGGTTCTTCGCCAGGCTAATTTTTGAGTGAGATTTTTGGTGCTACCGCGATTTCCGGCAGATTTCCTGGAGATTTCCGGAGGATTTCTGGGAGGTTCGGCTTCGCCGCAGGATCTCGGGCGCTGTCGGGTGGTAAGCCCCTGGGGATTTTCAGCACATTCGCTCGGGGAGTTCAGGTTTTTTTTACCCCCCCAAGCTTTCCGGGAAATGTCCGGAAGATTTCCTGGAGATTTCCGGAAGATTTCCGGAAGATTTCCGTGAGATTTTGTGTTGCCGGGAGATTTCCGGAAGATTTCCGGAAGATTTTGGGTTGCCGGGAGATTTCCGGAAGATTTCCGGAAGATTTTGTGTTGCCGGGAGATTTCCGGAAGATTTCCGGAAGATTTTTTGGAGATTTCTGCCGCCCCCGCGATTTCCGGAAGATTTCCTTGAGATTTCCGGGAGATTTGCGGGAGAGGTCGCTTGCGCGGCCCCTCCTCCGGAAGACTCTCTGGAGATTTATTTGCAGGTCTGTGGAGTGGGCGGATTCCCAGTGCCCCCACATCTCCGCGGGCGGCCCGCATGTTGCCCTTCGCAGGCTCCCTTCCAGCGTGCCCCCGATATTCATTGCTCCGCCGTGTTCCCCGGTGGTTCCCCCCCCCGGAGCTTGCCCTCCGGGGGGGTCCATCGGTCGATCCCCGTGGGCCCCCCCCGAGCCCCCCATGGATGGCCGTGAGGGTGGCCCCCTTGGGAGTCTTCCCCATGTGCGATGCTCCCCATGGGTTGCCATAATAGGCTGCCCCCGCAGGGTGTCCCAGCAGGTTGGCCACGCAGGTTGCCCTCGGTATGCCTTGTTGGTTGCTTCCATGGGTTGTCCCCATAGGTTGCCCCCCCCCTCCCCTCGCCCACAGCCCACAGGTTATCCCGTGGGAGGGCGCCCTTCCATAGTTTGCCCCCCCATTGGATGCTGCCCCCATCATGGGTTGCGCCGCCAGAGGTTGGCCTAGGTCGCCCCATGTCGCCCCCGCAAGTGCCCCCATGGGTTGCCTTCAGGAAAGTGCCCAAAACAGATTGCCTCAATGGCTTGGCCCCGCGGGTACCTTCCAATAGATTGCCCCCACTGGCTACTGACTATCCCCCCAAGTATGCCCCCATGCGTTGCACGAGGACATTGCCTCCCATCAATTGACCTTGTGGTTTCCCAATGAAGGTGCGCAGGTTGGCCTGCCCGTATGCCCCCCCAATCGATCCTTCCAAATGCCCCCCCTCATGTTTGCCCGCGATCGATACCCTTTTCATGGGCCCTCCTTCTGGGTTCCCCTGGGCCCCCCCTTGATGTATCGCCCCTTATGGGCCCCGCTGTTAGGCAACGCCCCCATATGCGTCCTCCTCATCCGGCAGTTTCCTATGGGGTGTGTTTGGGTCCGAGAGCACGGGGCCAGAGTCCCCGGGCCAGCCTGGGGCCGAGAGAGCACGGGGCCGGGCGGCCCAGGATCGGTGGCCCAGGTCCACGAATGGGACCGAGCACGAATGGGGGGAGCAGGAGGCGTAAGAGGAGGGCTGCTGCTATTCCTCCTCCTCCTCGCCATCCTGTCTGCCTACGTATTCCTGTTCCTCCTTTTCTTCCTCGTCGTCGTCGCCGTTTTCGTCGTCGTGGCCCTCCTTCCCATCCTTCTGTTTCTTCTCCTTCTGCTTGTCATCCTGCTCCTCTTCCTCCTCCTCCTCCTCCTCCTCCTCCTCCTCGTGCTCCCCTTCGTGCTCATCTTCCCCAGCCTTCTCGTTATTGTCCTCTTCCTCCCTCTTCCTTCCCTTCTTCCTCTTCGCCCACCTGCTCGTCGTATTCCCCTTTGTTTCCAACCATCCTGTGGTGTTGGGTCCTCGTTTTGAAAAGACGGTGCCCCGCGTTCTCCTTCCTTCCTCCCTTCCTCCCGCTGCCTCCTCCTTGCTGCCGCCTGCATGCGTCACGCACACCCAATTCGGCACACCCCTCACACGTTTCGTGGCCCTATAGGGAGCTCCGCCGAAGGCCCCAGTGCTGCCGCCCGCATGCGTCACGCACACCCAATTCGGCACACCCCTCACACGTTTCGTGGCCCCATAGGGAGCTCCGCCGAAGGCCCCAGTGCTGCCGCCCGCATGCGTCACGCACACCCAATTCGGCACACCCCGCACACGTTTTGTGGCCCCATAGGGAGCTCCGCCGAAGACCCCAGTGCTGCCGCCCGCATGCCTCGCGCACACCCAATTCGGCACACCTTTCACACGTTCGTGGCCCCATAGGGGCTCCGCCGAAGGCCCCAGTGCTCGGCACACCCAATTCGGCACACCCCCACACGTTTCGTGGCCCCATAGGGGGCTCCGCCGAAGGCCCCAGTGCTGCCGCCCGCATGCGTCACGCACACCCAATTCGGCACACCCCTCACACGTTTCGTGGCCCCATAGGGAGCTCCGCCGAAGGCCCCAGTGCTGCCGCCCGCATGCGTCACGCACACCCAATTCGGCACACCCCTCACACGTTTCGTGGCCCCATAGGGAGCTCCGCCGAAGGCCCCAGCGCTGCCGCCCGCATGCGTCCCGCACACCCAATTCGGCACACCCCTCACACGTTTCGTGGCCCCATAGGGAGCCCCACCGAAGGCCCCAGTGCTGCCGCCCGCATGCGTCACGCACACCCAATTCGGCACACCCCTCACACGTTTCGTGGCCCCACCGAAGGAGCCGCCCGCATGCGTCCCGGCACCCCATGCCCCTGCCGCCCGCATGCGCACGCACACCCAATTCGGCACACCCCTCACACGTTTCGTGGCCCCATAGGGAGCTCCGCCGAAGGCCCCAGTGCTGCCGCCCGCATGCGTCACGCACACCCAATTCGG